GGTCATCAGCTTGTTTAGGTTCTCCTGTGGGATCATATGTTGCAGCTCAGATTAAAAAATTTACTTCTCTATAGTCTTTATGAGAAGGAAATGTAATTAATCTTGGGAGGAAGAAGTTTTCAAATTAAAAATTTAATGAAACCTTCTATATATTTAAGTGTTCTCATTAAAATAAAGTTTAAAATTTTGCACCTTAATATGAAGGAAATAAAATGTTACTGTATAAAAATTTTAACACAAGTCTTTACAGAATTAATATTTATATTACATGTCAGATTCTGAAAAATATTTTTCACAAGTAATTTAAGTGAAACAATTCAGGGGATCAGATAAAGGCTACTTGAAACAAATACCAAATGTAAACAGGTAATTACTAGGAAAAGGCAGTAAATAAGTTCAGCTCACTTCATAGTTATTATTGTTTCATCATACACGAAGGTCAAGAGAAGTGTAGGAATTTAGATAGGTCAGATTCGAAACTATGTTCATGTTACTTTACAGATAATGAAATTCATCCTTTACCCGGAAAAGAGCCGAGACAGTCTGGAAAGAAGAACCCTTCTTCTTGCCTCCTTTTTTTCCTGCACCACCACCGCTAGCCTCTTCAAAAAGAAAAATATTTTTTTCATATAATCTTTTTTCATTGTATCTTTACATACCTTAACTGTTGGGAAAAAATCATTTTAGAAAACAAACCTGTTTCTGCCCCACCATAGGAGGCAAAAAGTAAAGCCAGTGTCTTCACAGACGATTTCTGATACAACCCAATGACAGTTTCATTCAGGGGGTCTTTGTTCTTCTCCAGCCAGCCAGAGATGTTGTAGTCCACTGTGCCAGCATAGTGCACCAGGGAGAAGTGGGCCTCAGCCTTGCCTTTGGCAGGCTTGGGCTTCTGGAAGTTACTAGACTTGCCCAGATGCTGGTCATAGAGCTTGTTCTTGAAAGAGGTGTCAGTTGCCTTGGGGAACATGCACTCCTCTTCCAGGATGGAGAAGATGCCCATGGGCTGGAAGACAGTAGAATAAAGAATAGAGAAAGCTTGTTGAAAAAAATGATCACAACTTGGTTGTAAAGGGAACATAGGAAGCTGAGGAAAAAAAAAAAGAAAAGACAGGAAGCTGAGATAGAAACCAATATCCTTGACCCTTGCAGTGAAGAAAATTTCTTTGCATAAAGTAAGTTTAAAAGATTTGCCTGTTTTATTCACACTTTAGCGCAGTGATTCAGGATTTCTTTTGACATTTAAAAATCAGGACGATAAAGATTATGTTTAAAAATATATTTCAAAAGTGCATCCATCGTTTACTGACTTTAGGTTTTGTATTTTGAACCAAGTCCCTGAATTATACAGAATGACAAGAAATCTCTTTCAGTTTCATGCACTCAGAGGTCAGGCACTGACTGTACTGGCCTGTACCTACTTTGCTATGAACCATCTAGAAAAAAAAGTACTGTCCAGATAATTTTATTTCAGGGTGTTAAGAAAATATTTTTAATGCACTTTGGGAGCTGCTTTGTTTTTGGAAAAAATATCCTTTAATCAAGCAAGATTACCTTCCACACAGAGAAGGTGTGTGAGGAATGACTTCCATAGTTATCTGTGGGCTTTGTGGTATCTCTAATGAACAATAATACAGATCAAGAGAAATTCCAACAACTAAAACTGAATGCATGAAACTAACTATGGAAGAAACCCTTTTTTTTAATATCTTGTAACCATTCTAATTTTAGAATAATGAGTTTCTGAAAATACGAGACATTTTGAATTAAAAGTTTACCTTCTCAATAAGCTCAATGCAGGCAGCCAGGTCCATCCCAAAGTCAATGAATGTCCATTCAATTCCTTCTTTCTTGTACTCCTCTTGCTCCAGCACAAACATGTGGTGGTTGAAGAACTGTTGCAGTTTCTCATTGGTGAAGTTGATGCACAGCTGCTCCAGGCTGTTGAACTTTTCAGCAGAAAAGAAACCAAGAACCCATAATCAACACGCAGAGTTCCTGATCATTCTCCACCCTTCCACACAACTGTATTATCAGGATCTCACCACAACAGGACCCATATGCAGCTCTCAAAAGAAATGTCTACATAACAAAAATGGATTTTTTTCCAGAAGAGATTCACCTAGTGAATCACCAAAAAAATCATAAATTACTTTGGCATTTTTATGTTTAGCTCAAAAGATGACTTTATACCCTGGTCTTCAATTTTTAAGCACTTGATACCTCTGATTAAACACTTAGCTATTCAATCCTTGGTGCTTTAAACAATTTACACCTTTACTCTATTACATATATGTTAAAGGACCTCCAAATCCTAGTTCTACTCTAGAAGCTCTTACATAAAATTACTGTAAATATGTTGGGGATTTTTTTAATCATTAATATTAAGCTCAAACTGTTAAAATATTACAACATATAAGATTCTACTTGCTACTTCTAAACAAATAGAATAACTGTCTTGTATTGATGAAGCTTCTGAGGATTTTTCTCTGTGCTTCAAAGAAAAATGAAGGATTTTTTTCCAGAAAATTGAGAACAACTATCACGTTAAACCTTCAGAAAAATACAACTTGGAAGTCCTGTGACATAGCAAGTTCCCCCTGTGCAATCAGTCCTCAAACCTAAGTTCCTTACATCAAAGATCTCAAAGCCAGCAATGTCCAGGACACCAATGAAGTACTGTCTGGGCTGCTTGGTGTCCAGCTGTTGGTTGATGCGAACAACCATCCACAGGAACATCTTCTCATAGACAGCCTTCGCCAAGGCACCCACTGAATTGTTCACCTAAACCAATGAAGAACAGAGAAGAAAAACTGTATCTAGAGCAAATAGTAAGTGATAGAAGCTGGAGGTTCCAAATCACCATCTGTTACCTGCTGCACGGTTTGACCCTTGGTCACATATTCATTCCCAACTTTGACTCGGGGGTAGCAGAGGGCCTTGAGCAGATCTGCTGAGTTCAGACCCATCAGATAGGCAGCCTTGTCAGCAACTAAGTAGAAGGATAAGGGGACAGACAAATTAAGACTAACAAAATATGCACCATTTTGAGTCATGAACCCTTCACAAAGCAACTGGAACGTTGAATGCCCTTGTACTCAGATTCTGTTTACTGGATGTCAGAGGAAGCATGACAGTCATTAGAACAAAAATAATTTTTGTTCTGAAGCATTTGCATAGAAAAATTCTAGTTCTGTCTTTAAAAATCTTCACAGAAGTATGCAGAAACAATGTGCTTATTACAAAACTCATCGGGAAAACTGAAGTTCATCACTTCAGTCCAGAGCTAGTTGGTATCTATAAGTCAGACAACAAAGCATCAGTTTTAGCAGGTTGGACACCTGAGCACAACCCAAAACATACACTTAGCTACTTGGGCTACCTGCATTCTTTGACAGCTGCTATAATGCTAAAAGTTATTCCAAAATTAGAAGTAACAACTAAGAAGTGCCCCATTCTGGAGGCTTTTTACTATGGTCATAACAGAAAGGCAGGCCTATTTCTTCATTCAGGATCAAAATCTATAAATTCAGTCCTGAAGATTGGCAGTCCTGAAAACCAAAAAATTCAGTCCTGAAACAATTATGGAATTGAGTCTCCAATAAAAAGATATTGAAGGAAGGTTCCCTGTTACCTGAGCAAAATTCCTAAATATCATGTGATTTATGGAGAAGTTCTAATACTGAATTTAATGTCAGCTTAAAAAACAAAACAAAACAAACAGAAATATATTTTCTGAAAAATCTTTCTCTTCTTAGTGAGTCTTTAATATAAGCACAATGAACAGGCTGTGCTAACCAGAACTGTGGTATCCCAGAATAAAATTATGGATGCATGCAATTTATATGTCAAATAAAGATTAGGTAGTAATTGAAAAAATTATATATTTTTGGATGGCAGTTTCATACTTATATACTATCTCACCTAAATATTTTTTTTTACATTTTCAGTGCTCTCTTCTTCATCTTTCAAATAATCAGTTATTATTGCTACATCTAACAGGTCAACCACAGACTTTGTTAATACCTTCTGTGCCATCCGGCTCGGCCTGCTCCTCACGCTGCTTCTGCTTGAACTTCAGGTTCCCGTAGTGCATGACAGCCCCTGTCAGCTTGTAGATGGCCGTTTTTTCATCGGCGCTAAAGCCCAGAATGTCAATAGCACTCTGCAGTAGGACCAATAAAATAAAATCTTTGTCTGGGACAGATGACAATAGGTACAAAATTTTTAACAGTTACTTACATCTGTAGCCATCAGCTCCTCCTGGTCATTGATGCTGGCAACAGTGATCTCCCCTTGACTCACAAATTGGTAGTCATATGGGTTGGTGGTAATGAGAAGCATGTCTGAAAGTAAGAAGAAGGGACATGCAGGCTTAGTTTAGTCAAGCAAGTAATAGAGTGAGCTGATGGTGACCAGTCATCCTCCAAATTAGTCACTCTTCCTACCAATTAGCTCTGGCTTCTTGTTGGACATGATCTGATAAAATATGTGGTAACTTCTTTCTGCTTTGAGCTGGAAAGTGACTCTGGACTTCTCCAGCAGATCTAGAGATAAAATTTGGTTAGAAACAAGAAGAAACAGAAAAAAAAAAAAAATGTAGGGAGAAGATTGGAAGAAAAACAGGGAAGGCAGGATAGATGGTTGGGTGAAAAGATGTGTGGATAGACAGCAAACAGTTCAGGAAACTGTCTTACATGTTTCAATATCAGCAGAAGCTAGTTTTCCTGTGGCACCGAAGTGTATTCTGATGAATTTGCCCTTTAAAAGAACAAAAGCATTGTAAGATTTACATCATAAAAATACATCTGAAATGAAGGGTTTTACCGTTTACTCCACCAGGCACAAGATTTCTATTTAGAGACATTTTCTTAAGAATCAACTGTACTTCCAGCATTGACATGAAGTCATCTTTTATGTTTTTGACTATGAGAGCAATCAACAGTGACCTGGCTGTGTATTTTATATATGCTGAATGTACCTATAGGAAAGAATAGGTAGATTTCATTTTCAAATTCTAACTATTCCTGCATAGAAAGAGCAGTCAATTTAATGTACAGAAACAGCCATTTGACTAATTCAGCTGCTTAAATCTATCTTGATATCAGAAAAAAACCATTTCACTTCTGATTAATTAACTCTGATATAAAGGAAAACTATTATTCAAGTAGAAACTCTCTCTCCCCACTTCCTTCCTTCCTTCCTTCCTTCCTTCCTTCCTTCCTTCCTTCCTGCATCCCTTCCTCCCTCCCTCCCTTCCATCCTCCTTTCCACCCTTCCTTCTCTTCACTCTCTCTTTCTTTCTCTCTCTCAATCCCTTCCTCCACTCCCCCAACCCCCATCCTCCTTTCATTCTTCTCTTTCTTTCTTTCTCCCTTTCTTTCCCACCTTTACAAACCTGCCTCTCTTTCTTCCTGGCATAATGTCTGTCTGTCTTTTAGCAAATGAACTGAAATAAATGACATTATTGTTTAACACTGCAATGTATTATAGGAGAAAAGGCATGAATGCCACATACTTCAGTTTACTATTTTTCAGGAACCATTTGGTTAAACAACTTACAAAGCGTGAGGAGTTGTCATTCCTCACGGTCTTGGCATTTCCAAAGGCCTCCAGCAGTGGGTTGGCGCTGATGATTTGATCCTCGAGCGTTCCCTGCAGGACAATAACTACTGCTGGTTATCCTTTCCAAAAATCATGTCAGGAAGACGGGAAAGCATTGATTCAAGCCAGCATCTGTTAAGTAATGATCTGACCCTCAGGCATTCCCTAGAGCACGATAATTATTCACATAAAGTGTTTAGCAGCCATGGCAATTACATGCCACCTCTTCAGTCTGTGCTTCCTGACTCACCTGCATTTTGCCTGACTGCTCTTCCTTTTTCTTCTCCCCGCTGGCTGCAATTGTTGCAAAGTACTGGATGACACGCTTTGTGTTCACAGTCTTCCCTGCGCCGGATTCTCCGCTGCCAAAGCAGAGAGAAGCAGAGAGTGGTGGTCAGGCAGAAGGTCCCCTGGCACCGGGCAGCCCCGCAGGGACACGAGTAGGGAGTGTACATACGTGATCAGGATAGACTGGTTCTCGCGATCTGTGGAAGAGGCAGAAATACAGTAGTTGAAATTAACTGAAGAACACAGAAATAGTGAAATGTAGTTTAATGTTTTCAACTGCATTCTATCAGTTTGACTTCAAAAAACCACCAAATAATCAGAAAAAACCCCCAAATATCCAGGACTCCACTGAGTGCGGGGATGCCTTTCTTTTAAAAAGGTAGGAATCGTGGTGTGAAGGTAGTAAAACACACAATAATATGTATACATTAGAACCATGAAAGCTTTGAAAAAAATCTCCTTATATACTGAGACAAAATAAGCCTCCAGAGAATTTCATGGTGCAATCATTCTGGGACAGATAGAGCCACTCACCAGTCAGCATGAACTGATAGGCGTTGTCAGAGATGGAGAAGATGTGTGGAGGGGCCTCCTGGCGCTTCTTGCCTCGGTAGGCCAACACCACCTCCGGGTTGTACACCGGCAGCCCCTTGTTGGGGGGTGCGGGGGCAGGAAGGGAGACAGCACGTTGGCTTCCACTTAGCCAGGCAGAGCAGTTCCCCCAGCCAGCCAAAGGCAGGCAGGCTGCTGCTTGTACTTACGTAGATCATCCAGGCTGCATAACGCTCTTTGAGGTTGTACAGCACAGCGGGTTCATGGAGGTGGGTCATCATGGCCATGTCCTCGATCTTGTCATACTTGGGAGGGTTCATGGAGAAGATCTGATCATCCTTGACAGTCAGGGTCTGTTAGATGAGGGAAGAGATTCATGTATGTCAGCTAAGAGCTGTGAGTTTGGATCACACAGTGTCCTTCACTCTGTTTTTTCACTCACTTCTCCCCCTTCAGTCTTGACGGTGACCTTCCCTGAGTCTTTGTTCTGGATTGTCCCTTTCACAAAGGATTCCTTAGGATGCACGACAAAGACAGATGACTTGGCATCAAAAGGCTTGTTCTGGGCCTCGATTCTCTCCTTCTCTGACTTTCGGAGGTAAGGAGCTGCCTCCCCCAAGATGGCCAGAGTCTGACGACATGGCTGCACTTTATGGAGGGGCTCGTCAGCAGAAATCACTGTGGAAGAGCAGATATGTTGCACAAATGTGTCCAAAAGTAAGTAGAAAAAGAATGTGAAAGGAAAAATACTGTATTAGTACAATTCATAGATTTTTTTTTTTTTTTAAGTAATTGTATATTTTTACACTGATGTGATTCTACATTTACAGAAAATGTGAAAAGAATTTTTTGGGAGATCAGTTTGATTAGGGTCCACTGCACTGAAATCGCATTTGAAATTATCAACAGTCACATAGCAGTCAAGTATTTAGGCACTATACTGTGGAGTTAAGAACCTTAAAATTTCTTTCAGCTGCTTATGCATTCTTTTAAAATTCACTTGAAATTATTACAATGTATTTACTTCCAAGGTATATGAGTTCAGAAGGCTCAGAAGGCTCATATACCACTGTCTTGAGTGGCATATAGACAGCATGAACATCTTAATGGCTCAGTGTCAATCTCTGAAACGTTTCTATCCTTTTATTGATGATACAATTATTTGCTAATTCTACTGAGTTCTTGAATTCAGGTGTAAATGGCCTCAATGCCTGTCAGAAGAAGAATAATGTTATTCTAAGACACACACCAACAGCTCAATTTCTATTACTTTCTTTCTTTTTTTTTTTTTTAATTTAATATAATTTTAGTGGAAAACAAAGTTAAACATGAAGCTTCAAAGCCCTACTCGGGAATTTAAAAAATAAGGAATTGTAACGCCAGTACTAATTTATCTGAAATTTTTTTTAAATTTTTTTTTTCCACAGTAAAAAAAATCCATCAGGCAACTTACTATTGCTTAGTATTGTGTGATATTTGTACTAAAATGAGAGCATAATGTGATAATTCTTTATTTCTCCCTGCATAAACAGCTGGTAGCTTAGAGAGGAAGAGGACTGCAGCTTCTTGTGAAGCAGAGAACAGGCAGAGCAGTAAGTAGAAAAAATTATAGTTACATTTTACAGAGATGACAACCAGAGCTTTGTTGCCCATATTACAGCTTTTACTACTCTTGCTTTGTCAGTGGTCTCATGATAAATTTTGGATAAAATAACACATTAATTCACATGCTGTGACACAAAATCTTGCATTTTGCGTTTTCCCCTGCTGTACTCATCTTGGTCCAGTTTTAATGCCGCCATAGCAAAGATGGGAAGCCAGCATGCCTCACTCCCTTTTAGGTCAGTTAAGCAGAACTGAAGAATTTCACCATGAAGACTTTCTGGTCTGCCATCAGTGGTCAGAGACTTCAAACAGAGCCACTTAAAGATTGGACCAGATGACCTTCAAGGTCCCCTCCAATCTGTGCTGTTCTATGATTCTATGATTCATTTGAAAACCTCACCAGCTTTGGGCACCCCACCACCTTCTACTGTGATCACACTGGGTTTGAAAACACAGAGTGACACAGTGACCATTTACCCAGATGTATAGAAATTCCACCCGAAAGGATCTTTCTTTGCCCTCTAAGAATTAATAAATCAGGTCCTTACCTCTCGTGACACCAGATGGGTGGCTTGCAGGCTGGCAGATGATCAGTACTGCAAAACAGAAATGGCAATTCCCTACTTGCTGCTGCACAGAAATCCAGAGTGAAAATGTGCAGGTGCCTTGAAAGTAGATTTAAAACCTGAGTGCCTGCCTGGAAATGAGCACTGGGGGCAGCTGCAGTGCTGTGGCACATAAGAGCACCATCCTCTTCTTGCAAGCCTGCAGACCCCATACTTACCTTGAAGCCTTCCGTGGAGACGGGGCACGCTTGTCGCAGGGACGTTTTATACTATCTAGCTTGCAGATGCTACAGATGCCTGCTCTTTCTTCGGTCAAAAAATTTTTGGCAAACCTTCTTTGGGAGAGCATTGTCTGGCAAACTGAACTAAGGGCATAATTGTCATTTGACATGACTAGATATAATTAGAAAATTTTGATGTCTTACTGACTATATGAATACATCTCCTATAAATAATTTGTTAAGGGTGTTAAGGAGGGAATTTGGACTAGTCAAGGCACTTAGAGAACTTGGATGCAGGACTTATGGATTCTATTGCTGGCTTTCCCACCGACTCACTGTATGACCCAGGGTGGATTGCTTGGTATGCCTGTGCTGCAGCTATCCCAGCTGTACAATGGGAACGACAACATTTGTCTTCCCCATGTGATGGTGTGAAGCTTATAAGAAATGCCTAAGAGGAATACATTAAGCGGACCACTAAGTGAGAAATAAGCATTGCTAAAAGATTCTAGTGGTTCTGTTGGTAAAATCCTGAAAGTAGAGTAGTAATCTGGGTCCTTCAGTGTGATAGTATTGGCTCCTGAGAATCAACATGGTAAGGTGACTGGCCAAGAGTCAAAGATTTTGTCACAGCAACAGGAGGCTGGGGTCTAGCTGAAGTACTGTGTTTGAGTCTCAGAGAGGTGAGGTCATTTCTGATGCATGAAAAAAAATTAGACATACACTTGTGCACATATGCCCATCTGTACACCTGAAATTGCAAAAAAGTGGGAGATCCTCCAGGAAGTGTTGTTAAAAGCCTGTACATGAAATTGTGCTAAGGGTACGTCATAAGGTAAGCTGTGATTTCTGCTATGTAGGTCAGGGCAGTTGGACAACAGATGCTCTTTTCTTGATGTTTTGATAAGTATGAAAGTATCCATACTGGCCTCAATTCGTTCTTATGGTTTGTTTTTTTTTTTTCCAAGTCTAACCTTCAATCTGTACCACAAATAAAGCAAATGCTGAGGTAAAGGTCCAGGCCTGTAGAGATCTGTACCATTTGAATGTTTATATCCCTTTTTACAAGGTGTGGTTACAGGTCATTACGGAGTCTATATATATCAGCCAAGGGTTTTTTTCTATTCCTGCAGAAATTTCTGCTCCTGTAGAATTCCACAGCCCTACCATCCCATTCTTTCCAGTTCCTCTAACATAAACAAACCACAGTCTCAGATCCTGTTTCCCATATGCATGCTGCCACTGTCAAATTCAAGACCCCTTCAGCCCTTCCCCACCCACAACTCTCAGAAACTAGTACATTCTCAGAAACATTTAAACATTCATACAGTTCCTGGAACAAAGTCTATCAACAAGTTGCTGCCTATATCAGTGTACTGGAGGTGGTACACTGTCCTGATACTCTGAGAAAGGGGGATTTGCTGGTAGTCCTGGAGAGTGACTCACCTAGTTTTAGGGAAAGGGCACTGTCACTTGAGCTGCTTTAAATGTTGTGAGATCTAAGCACACGCTTCTCCTGGTCATTGACATTTTGGTTATTGAAGGAGGTCAGGAACACAGGGACAAGGTTAGAGAAATTATGCATGGGATTCAAGGTAATATCCAGTATCAGGCTCCACCCTGTGCATGAAGATCTTGCTCCAAGAAGGGCCCTGGCATTACAGCATCCATTTTTTGGGTGGCTGGGCCCCAGGTTGGAACACAAACCTGTTCCATACTGAGGCATTGAAGTGTCACATGGTGCCCAGCAGCCCAGTGGATTATTTTTCCTGGCTCAGGAGGTGACAGGAGGACCTTGGCAGATCAGAGCATGGGGTTAAGCAGATCATGGGAGGAGAAGGGTGACTGAGACCTCTCCCAGGATGTGAAAGCTGAGGGTTTTCTCCCATCAGGCTGGGGAGGCAGCTCTTGTCTCCCATTTCCAGGGAAGCTGTAATATCTGACCTGTAAAGGCAACATACTCTGGTAGCAACAGGTTTAGTATTAAGTATAATGATAGAATGTCTTAAGTTAGAAAACATGTTCAAGGATCAACTAGTCCAACACCCCTGCTGTGGGCAAGGACGACTTTCAGTGCATTAGGTTGCTCAAAATCTCGTCGAACCAGATCTTGAACACTTCCAATGATGGGGCATCTAACTTCCCTGCAAAATCTGTTCATGTGTCTCACCACATTCATCATGAAGTATTTCTTCCTTACATCTATTTGAAAACTACCCTCTTTCCATTTAAAATCATCATGTCCTGTCCTGTCACTACAGACACTGGTAAAATGTCTTTCTCTGTCTACCATACAAGCCCCCTTTGAATACTGAAAGACCACAAGAAGGTTTTCTCAAACTTTTCTTCTGTCAGCTTTTCTTTATAGGAGAGGTGTTCCAGATCTCAGATCATTTTAGTGGTCCTCCTCTGGACCCACTCTAACAGAGCCAAGTCTTTCTCATGCTGGGGACCACAGATCTGAAGTGGTACTGCAGGTGAGGTCTCTCCAGAGTGGAGTAGAGGAGCAGAATCACCTCCTTTGACCTGCTGGCCATGTTGCTTTTGATGCACCCCAGGATCCGACTGGCTTTCTGAGCTGCAAGCACACATTGCCAACTCCTGTCCAAATTTTTATCCATCAGTATCCCTGAGTTCTCTGCATAGCTGCCGTTGCTTTTTTGTGAGGTCCTGTTCTCAGTGGTATGTAGCAAGCTTGTCTTATGTGATGCTGTTAGGCTCAGACAAAGGGGCCTCAGGATGTGCCTGATTCTCCAGGGGCTAGATGGAAAATCTAGCTAGGTGTGACTTTGGGAACTGAAAATCTCTGACTTCCCAGTGGTCAAGGACAAACTGAATCTTCTCAGCAGAACTCTTATATGTTTTTGCTCTTACACAGGCTGTGTAACAGGCAGGAGACACATGGCCAGGCAGCTCTAGGCATGCAGTCAGCTGAGGGAAGACCTAGTTTGAAAGGGAAGTGGCCAGTGAGTTGCAGTGTCTCCAGGTGTTGACAGTAACTCAGCAGTATTTTTAGGATGGCAAGCTTTGATGTTGGATCTGGTCTGTTCACAAAAGAGTTTAGAAACAAAAAGCCTGCTATTGAATTGGTCCTAACCCCAGCATAGCTTCTCACATGTCAGCCAGGCCATAAGAAAGAATTCCTTCCTCCCTGATATCCTTAGTAGTCAGATGACATTTCCTCTATCTTTAAATCATTCAAGTTTTTTTTTTAGTTAAAGTTCAAGTGGGTTTGGTCAGTATTCCCAGGAGGATGTGACTGTACCCTAAGTGCTGTTGCACAGCTACTTAGCAGAAAATATCCATATGTATTTTCATGAAGGTAGTGCACTGAAGGTACATGAAAGATACATCCAATTCACAGTTTTACTTAAGAAAAGTATACAATATTGTGTACATTTCTTCTATGTGCATTATATTATGAATATCAGAGAAGGTAAATGAAATTATATTCATCAAAATTATAAAAAAATAGTGAAAGTATTTTATCCTTAATTGTTATAAGACACAGATCTGTAATAGCTATATGTGAGCATATACACAGGTCTTAACCGTTACATTGCTTTACAGCTTTTCTGTGCATGAGCAACCTGCTGTTTTCTAATATATTACACAGTCCTAAACTCAAGTGACACCCTGTATTGTTAGAAATAAAGTTGCAGTGCTTTTTCTATCTTTCCAACTGCTCTTTCCAGCTTCACTGGAATGTTTTTAAGCCTTCCTCTTTGCTTAAAAGTGCTTTACAGAACTAGGTTTTTACTGAATTCAGTTTTCAAATTCAAACTATAGGCAGTTTTGCCCACAGTTGGTTGTCTTATATTGTCCAAAGGCAATGCAAAGAACTCAAAGTATAAGAACATTTGGTTAGTTTATGGAGCCTCATAAAATCTCTACACATTGACTGAAGTGTATTTGGAGGGAGTAATCATAATTTACACATGATGTATGTGCATTCAGGCACAACGTTAATTCAGTTGATTTTCAGTCTGTGGAGAGAAGAATATAATATTCTGTGCTCTGCCAAGGTAGTTGAGGAAAATGCCTTTGTACTGAGATTGTCTAACATACAAAGATTTCTCATAAAAGAAGTTGTGCTGCTGCCTTTTCCAGAAGCCACATGGTCTAGTGCAGCATTGACCTATTTGCTCAATATGACCTTGAAGTAAGCCTTTTGGGGCTTTTTTCAGGTTACAGCAATAGCTGAGGAAAGACGTAGCTGATTCCCACTGCTGTCAGGACTTAATGGAAACTCAGCAGGGGATGGCTGTAGAAATTAATTCCTTCTTACGTCCTCTCTCCGATATTAATGTCCCCTGCTCTTTTCCCCCATTGCCGGGGTGATATGTAACTGAACACTTTTCCTTGCCCCTCTAAAGTCTCTTTCTGTGTGGAAGCATAGTTTCTGAGGGAAAGCGCACAGTGTTGAATTAGTATGGCAAAAGTTTGCAGTGCAGCAGTCTCTGCTTCACAACATCCAGGGTCCAAGGTAATGGAGATGTTCACAACAAGACATGTTAGTAAAATTGAAGTTCTTCAGTATGTTTATGCTTGACTAACTCAGTCCTAGTCAACAGCAGCTAAGTTTTTGTTTGCTTAGACAGGTACATTTGGGGCAGTACTATACGTATTGAAGGATGTGGTCTTACATTTTAGTCATAGAATCAAAAAATTCATAGAAGCATTAAGGTTGGAAAAGACCTCTAAGATCATCAAGTCCAAATATCACCTAACAATAACATGACCATTAGACTATGTTACCAAGTGCCACATCTATTTGTTTTTTGAACCCCTCCAGGGATGGTGACTCCAACACTTCCCTGAGCAGCCTCACCACTCTGTCAGTAAAGAAATTCTTCCTCATATCCAGTCAAAACCTCCCCTGGCACAACTTGAGGCCATTTAATCTCATCTTGTCACTAGTAACCTGGGAGAAGAGACTCCTCACTAGGCCTCACTACAACCTCCTTTCAGAGAGTTGTAAAGAGCGATAAGGTCTCCCTTAATCCTCCTCTTCTCCAGGTTACACAATTCCAGTTCCCTCAGCCACTCCTCATAAAACGTGTTCCCCAGAACCTTCACAGTCAATTATATCTGTGCTATAGTTCAAAGACAAAACTCAGTACAATTAAAAGTATCTTAATAATATTCTGGTAACTGTACTCTCTGTCCA